AAAATGAAAGAACTACGATACGATTCCGTTGGAATCAAAAACAGTATACGGATGGTTGCTACCCTCAAACTAGAATAACAGGAAGTCCGCAAGCGAGACAAAGAGGTGCGTGTTCACGTGATCTTCAGCGTAAGCCTTATGATTACCTGAATTCCATCAGCCGACTGGATTTACGTGAGCTATTCAAGTGGCTGACAAGTTACGTTCTGCGCTACACACTCAGATTCTTCCGACTGAGAGCAACTGTTGGGTTTGACATATGTCTCTGGATAAAAACACCGGTCAGATAAATCTAATCGATCGCCTGCCATCTCTCCAATATTCCACAGTAAACTACTAAGTCTCTGACACTCATGAAAAACAAGAGGAGTTATCACAAGAATTGAGTGGCTCAGCTGACAACTCGCGGATCTTAGTGACATTCTGGTGAACAAACCTGTTCATCTTGAAGATGTGCGTGATTTAGCTGTTGCCTGTTGAAAGTGGATCACGTGATGCGACTTTGACGGGGGAGCAAGCACGAACCACAAGCAATGCGGTGAAAAATGTGACGAGCGGTCTTTTTGGGACAGTGCTAAAAAGCAGGGAACCGAAATTCCGGTGAACGGCACCAGTCTTCATTTTGATGAAAGGGATGTCATCTTCAAATGTACATGTGGCAAACAAATGAACTGAACCGTAAAATAAAGGGCACTTGACGTATTACACGCAGTGACTGTTCCAATGACCAAGTAAAAACAAAAGGTTACATGACGGATGATCGCAAATTAACCGCTTTCCGCATTTTACTATCTCCTGAACAAATTACTTGTAAACAGAGGTAAAAATTGATTGCTAGCACCATTTTATCTAAACTTTTGGGGTAGGATTTTCGGGAACATACTACTCAAATCAGAACCTCTTCAATATCAAAACAACTTGACACTTTTAAACGAACTTTTGAGGCGTGTGTGAAGCCTAAAGGATTGGATTTCACAGTGAAAGGTTTAGCGAAGTGACTTTCGAATTTTCGGGAATTTTCAAGGCAGTTGAAATTCTCTGCAAGAGTCCGTATGCCCGAATAATCCCGATCACAGAGTAGCAAATACGTCAGTAGAATTCGACCTAAGAAGGTCCATGCCAAAGCTTAGTGGGATTTTTGAACACCAATTGCGTTCCACAGGCGATCATTGCTTTGTGGCATCCACACACCATGATATCCTGCATGTAAAACGATTGCAAGTAACCCCAGTGTCCGTAATTACATAAACACTCTTGTGGAATCAACCGACTTCTGATAGTTTTTGTGTATTCCCTATCATCACGTTTGGGAGGAGACTGGTGTGAAGTATTTGCTCTATGCAAACTCTACCAAAAGCACTCTTGCAACCTTTTTGTTATAGGCAATCTACCCCATCTACTGATCTAAAAAATCTTGCCAAAACAAACAGTTCCCAACGTCTAACTCATACTGTTTTCACGGGAAACATATCCTTCGTAAATTCAAATTCACACGAAGGGTTTTGTGAGACCTTCCCAAGCGAATTTCGTTTGTATCTGTCAACCCTGTCAATACACACCGACTAAAATATCTCAAACTTCTCAAATTTAGCTCAAATGTCTGTCGCTAGTTCACCGCTCTTTGCTCGGCGATTGTCCTCGTTTAACCGTCCATCCAGTCGCCCTCACTAGAACGCACAGATTTGTGAGTCGTAGCACACATACAGGGGATTCTGAGGTTTATAGTCTTATCGACGCCAAGACGGGAGTGATGAAATATTCCATAGCATTTTTTATTGAGGTTGTACTCGAACGAATTATCATGGATAGCCGAAAATTCGATATCCAGGTAAGAAAGGCAAATCGATAGATATTGCAGGAGTGTGTACCTAAATGTTCTATTCTGGTTCCAAATAAACAAAGCCTTCGTGTTTTCCCGCTTTGCTGAGGCTGAGATTGGTCTCAGATAAAAACTTTTTAGGTTTCAAATATGAAAGAAAAACCTAATTCAATCCGCTCCGCAGACATTCATCAAGTTGCTTTCTTTGCTATTGGTTCACTAACTCACCTTAGGCCATAGACCTCATACAAAATAGTATTATTAAGCGAAATGTTGAACTGCAAGAGATGAAAGGGTATTGGAATGTGCGGAAAATGTATTTCCTTCAAAGTCAGTGGAAACCGTATCTGGCTGAAATGAAACTCATCAACAAACTGGTGTTTACGACTCTCAAATGTTAGTGAAATTAGGTGTTAGAAAATTATTCCCCAGTACCGTCGGGAAAGAACACGGGGGAAGGTAGTTCATCAATCGGCTGGGCAACTTTATCCTGAGGTGCCTAATTCCTCAAGCAACGCAGTAATGTTTTATCATCAGGAGAATCTAGTGATCAGTTTGATGACAAAACAATGTGACTATCTTTGAGAACAACATCCGGATAGTGAAAAACTGATCGTTCAGTTAGCTGAACTGAGTAATTCGGTTGCAAACATTTAAGCCTCAGTCGAGCTGCCATCACCAATGCCTTAAGAGCGGAACTGAGGAAGTTCTACTTACAACACCTCGACTGATTATGAAACCAAATTGCTTTTGTAGTCCGTGGAATTTGGCAAAATGTCTCTTGTGCGAAGATTCCCGCATATCATATCAGCCGCTATACTGGTTGCAAATTCCTGGCCAGATTGACGATACTACTACTGAAACGAATAAACAGTATGGGAAATTTTGGAATTAATTGAGAACTAGTTATTTTCTGTGAAGGAATATCGAGACCGTGTATACCCGATGGGCGATAATACCCAAATGAAGTGACAATAAATGTTGCAATAAATTTACTCAGTTCTCCCAAAAACAGGGGCTACTTATAGTGGCAAAGCTATATTCTGGGTGAACAATATTAGACATCTTGCCTACCCCCTGCACTCAGTATCTGTTTCTTGGTGAAACTCGTCACAGATCCTGAAGTTCATGCGATGTCCACCAGGCCAATTCATAGATGGGCTCGGTGTGCTTTGCGCGTATTATATAGGCCCCTTCTGACCGATTTGGATGGAGAAAACGATCTACTGTTTTCATAGTTTCATAATCACTATTTCAACCTCCATTCATCGGAAGGAACAAACGTATTTTCTCCCACGAAGGTTTACTCTTGAAAGAGTTCCTGCCGAAGTATAATGACTGTATCATAAAAAAGCACCACATTGAACCACAGCTCCTCTGTCTCCCCTTTTATGTCCACCGGCTATGAGAAGTGAACCAATGGTCTCAGTTGCAATTCTTTAATTCCGCCAACTCAAGACCCCTATCAACCGCACCGCAACACAACTGTACTTAAGCCATAATCGCATTAATCCAGTGATGACCACGGTCCTGTTGAATTCCAGTAGTGCGACTATTAGAAGTGGGTGTTTCCGGACATTCTTAGCTTGTCAGTCGGTTTACCGCCTTTGAGTAACTCACTCTAGAGGATGAAATAGTGCCACATTATGCGGTTTAAATGCCCAAATGTACAACACTTACAATAATGTTGTCTTGCGATGCCATCTAATCTACATCGCTCACCATACCATGGCAGCCGTTATAAATCGCACTCATCAACGATTCCTTGAAAAAGGTCTCTGTACATCGAAATAAAAAGTCTGACTGACAAAACTGAGTACACATCAAGAAGCAAAACGTGTGTGCATACAGAAGTATTCTCGTAAATGCAGCATACTGCATATATCACCCTCTTCTCGGAGACAGCATAGACCAAAATGAATTGAGGTTGCTTTACATTCACGTCACTTTATCTTGAACAGTCGCCTCCTGCCCTGGCGCAACTGTTCTGGTGAGTACACACCCAAGGGAAAAATGATAAACTTAAGTTTCGTTCTTATTTGAGCTAAACAGAAGTGCATATCCTTGTCCGTGCCAGGATTTGAGCGCCGAACACTTGAAATGCGAGGCAATCGTGTTACCGTCACTCCACCAGCGCATACTGGACGAATCTGAATTTTCACATCCGAACAGGCGAATCAGCTTTGCGCTTGGAAGATATGACTGGTTTTGCCCAACGTCTCGAAGGTGACCCAGTGACATACCTTGGTTGTGTCGATCGCTTGACCCCCCTGTTAGGACTTCCCGGTCAGGTAGCGCCACGGTAGCTCTGAAACCTTATGCACAGTTTTTTCCTCAGTTATTAGCAGTTGGTGATGATCAAAATCAACCTCCTTCATTAGAGCTCCAAAATAAGTGATAAACTGTACGAGATCAAACGACCATTTGTCAAGAAAATGGACAGCTTTACGGTGGTAGTTATGTGAGAAATTTCCCACAGAATCTTTTGATAATTTGTCGCGCCCATCAACAGCCATAATCCGTGGAACCCCAAATATGGCGAGTTGTCCCAGTCGTTGTACGGCAATCGCTACCACGAATTCATGCTAGTAATTGCGTTATGTAATGTCCGAACTTGACTTCAAGGGTGACCCCAGATACTGTAAGACATTGGGTAGTTCAGGGAGGAGAGTGCTCAAGCGCTCAAAAATAATATGAGGATAGTTAGTCTGTGAAATTACTTTTGCCAGTGTTTTGTGTCTCATATAGTGTGACTGCAGAAACGAGTGTATCCTGTCATCAGCTAGTTTGTGGATGGAGATTTATGCGGTGCATCAGCTTCGAACTCCTGAAAAGTGTCCCTATCAATGTAGCGGTGATACTACTGATGGTAAGGCATGCGTATGTATTACTCTTGTAAATTCGCTTTGCGTCTCTTGAAAAGTGAGATCTATTGCGGAATTTGTGAGTCGCTTTGTAGCATTTGCTTGGATTCGAGCAAGAGTCAACGAATATCCGGGAAAGTTCAGGAGGACACGTTCAAGGAGAAGATGGATATTCAGTTTTTGTAAACAAGCTGCATATAAGAGTTTTGCTTCGCTGTCCAAAAGTATGCAACTGCTCAGTTGGCATTTTCTAATTAACAACTCCGCAGCAAAGGCCTTCTCCCCTTCATTAGTAGTATGTTTTCTTCCCGTTCAGCGAACAGGTAAGCCGTCGTTTGACCGAATTGGCTGCAGTCCGATTTCCAACAGTCTTAGGGGCAAACGACTCCCTGTTGGGATGCAAAACGACGCTTCGTTATCGCATACGTCATAAAACGCCATCTTACGACCAAATATTAGTAAGTCGGTTGGTTTGTTCAATCACGAAGCAATAAAATCATCTACAACAGGGACGTTTAGTTTTGTGACTTTCCACAACAAGGTGACTTTGTTACCAATCATAGCAGACAATAAAACATCCCCAATCACTGGAGATGCTGTGAAAAATCTGGTTCTGTAAGATTCCAGCTGAAACTTAGGTGAAACCACTAGCAAGCGAGGAAAACAAATCCTGCGCCACAATACAGGACTACCTCGTATAATAATAAATCACAGTTCGAGAACCTCAACCTGTTTTTAAATCACGTTATCTTCTAGCTGGGATTCTGGGAAGTAGAACGCTGTAGAAATAAGCGTGGCTAGGGAAAAATATTGACTTTTCTTTTCTAATGTAACCGCATCAAAATACAATACGGTCTGATAAGCTGTCCGTTGCAAATTCTCGGATAAAACCCGATTCTGGAAACCTCAACGGCCAATTTGGCTCCTGACTGTTTTTTAGCCAGCTTTCTGGCAAACCAACTACTATATCCATCCATTCATCCATCCGTCCATCCAGCAAGTAAAGTCTTTCTAAAATGACAGTCTATAAACACTGAATCGTCATCAACGTGCATTTATTGGTCGTTGAAAGATTTTGGTTAGCAACTTGCCACTGTAACGTTAGGCAACAAATGTCTGATCACCAGTAGCCCTTTCAATCAATATTCGCTTCACTTTTATTGATTTAGCGAGCTCTTCCATCGTCCAAATGAAAGTTTTCTAAATAATCATTCTGTTTTTGGTATCACTGCCGTTAAACAGATTAAAAAAATACAACCTTTAAAAACCACTTGGTCCGCTCCTTAGTGATACTTTTTCAGGCTAAATTAGGCCACATTCTACCTTGCATCAGAAGCCACGAAAATGGCAGGATGTTAAACGAAGTCCCTTCTCTTTTCCTAGTAGACAGGACTTAGCAAGTGTCTAGAAAAATACCTCCTGAAACTTGGTTTTAGATTTTGAACTCTAAGCAGAGGTTCCAGTGTGGTAGTTGTGTCGAGAGAAAAAACTGCTTGATACAACTCGATCCGACATCACACTAACCACCTCAATTGTCCAGCAGTGGAAATATATTTCGATCCCTCATTGCAAGCTTTCTGTTACCGCATCGGTGCAAGGAATCAGGTATTTCTTAGGCTTCTGCATTTTTTTAGAGAACATACAACCGACATTTAGTGAAAGAGTGAAAATTAAGTCTTGTCTTGAGTTTCTCTCACTTCAGCTTGGCTACATTCTTTCCAGAACATAGTGGTTGATTGGACAGGACTTCCAATAGAAAGCAAAGCATTAGCACTATTTTACAGAAGTTATAAACTAACTTTGGCCCACAGGAAGTCTAAATAAAAATTTATTCTCGATCCGATTTTAGAACATTTGTAGTTATCTCTTTCGGGTCTCTACATTACGCTGCTCGTGACCGGCTGTAGTTCGCCAACAAACCAGCTCCTTCAACAAAATCTTGGAGTTACCTTTTTGCAATTAGTTTATTCCCTTGATGGATTTGTAAAATCCGTCAAAAAATTATTTTCTGATTCCAGCTAGAGAGCACTCTATGCACAAACTTTATTTCTGTAGGCACAGAAGCCTTCATTTTGTTGTTTGCTTATGTCTTGAAATGAACGCCAAATCTAGTGGTCGCTAATATCACAGTGTTCGCAGACCAAGCTATTCTGTCCAGCTTAGTTGGAATGAATACTACTGATCTATTGACGAAAGGCAACTGGACCACCGGAGAATTGACAATTAAGTTCACATTTCTTTTGTGGCACGCGCTTGAAGGATGATGTGAGTAGTATTTACCCACAAACTTATGATCATAGTCTCTGCTTATTTGAGTGTGTAGATCTCGGTTTGGCCAGCGATATAAAATCATAAAGATAGATCAAACGACAATCTGCTTACGCGCGGATTCTTTATATATTACTAACTACTATTCCACAGAGTGAAGCGTCTACTGTCGGCTCGATAAAGAACTTTCTAGACCTTATGTTGATTAAATTTGAATCAGAAAACTTGAATGTTCAAAATTGTTTACTCCTGTGACGCTTATCCCAGAAAGAGGCTTCCTAAAAAAGATGTGGTTTTATAACATGGTGGGCAAGATGACACATCAATTTTACGGAGAGTGCCCTTTAGGATTCAGTGTAGTGTGGTAGTCATTGTGCCAAACTTCCAGCGTCCATGAGCCAGCCCTGGAATTTGACAAACTGAGCACGTGGCAGTAAAAATCACCTGACCAATTCATTTAGGCCATTCACCTCGTTCTATCGAATACATGTTGGTTTGTACCCTGGAAAGCTAGACCTCGTTCTGACCACGACACTTGTACACATGATCTGAGACGGCTGAAAAAGCCGGAGACTTGAGAACGAGGTAGCCTACCAAAACTTACAACCGTTAAGCGTGCAAGATGATCTGTTTGCAAAACAAGGGCCTTGATGCTGTGACACACATGCACTTTGAAAGCTGATACGTGATCAGCGTCCAATCAGGTGACTTTCAGGCTTAGCTTCATTTGAATGTTGATTAATTTTTTTCTTTACTTGTTTGTCATAAATCGACGGATGCTTTTTCCTTTCGGAACTTGTCGCACGATTCAGTTTATAGCAGCAGATGTTAATCACATTTTATTTCACATAGTGAGAATTAAAAACATTTTCTAATGTATTAGTTTTCCATGGAACAACCCGGCCCAACGTGAGCAGATTTCAAGATCAATTTGATCCTGTTTAAGCAATTGTGAGTAGTAATCCAAAATGTACGCTTCAGTTCTTGCATCTCTGCATAAGTTCGTAATAATCAATTTCAAATTGGCCGGTAAAGTGCAAATTAGAAAAAAAGAAACATGACAAATGGCTCACTTTGGCAGTTTTTCTCAAGTTGTCAGCTTGATAAGAAAAGTTTAAAAGTAAACCTTGATTTTTCTCAACATGCAGTCATTGATTTTATCTGAGGGTGCACTGTACCAAGTCAAAATAATTTTTAATCTAGCTAAAATCGATTCTTCATCCGGCCTGGTTGAAACTGCTTATAAGCTGAAATAACCAGTTTTTTAAGTTTTGTACAATAATATTTTTAATATATAAGCGATCACCCGTTTTGCACTATCATCGCATGGCTGGTTTCAATAAAGGATTCTCTGCAACATAGTGCGAAGAATTTGCAAATCAGATGGATCTGTTGATTCTACGTGTATGTATGAGGGTACTCAATTTGCTTTCTTAAGCAATACACATTTTAGCCCGAAAAGAAGCCAGAGTTCGTGTCATTTCGTTAAGTAAATACATGGTGAATTTTTTGAATATGTGGAAACAAACGCGACTTTCTCAAGGCGCTTCCCAAAACGAACGGGGTGACATACGAACTGATATTTAGGTACTGGTGAACGTATGTTTGATTACATCCTGTTTGGACTTAAACGATCATTCGTAGTCCGAACTTTTCCGTTCTCGTTAGTATTCCGATTTTTCGTTGTGACATGAGAATACCCAAAATGATAACTTTAATTTACCAAAATCGACCGGAAACAAACTATTATATTCATATCCTAATTTTTATGCATCCAGCGTCGAATGCCAGCATGCGAATTTGCAACGATTTACGATACACAGGGTCATCATCAGATAAGAGGGATTAAGTGAAAAACAACCCAAACTTACGTTACGTGAGCATTCTGTGAAATGTCTTTTTCTCATATTTGCATAAACTTAGGTTGGCAGACCGTACGCAGAGAGCTGCTTGGTGTTTGCGTACCCGAAATTTATTTTCTAGCCCCAGTCCGAGTGGAGTGTGGCTTTGTGTTGGAATGGTCTGACGTTTTTTCACCGGTGAGAATTTAAAATATTATTGGTCAGACTCCTCGAAGTGTGTCGGCACTTTCAGCTTTATAGGTTTTGTCATATGAGCGCATATAATCACAAAATCTTCTCCAATTCTATTTTTGGCCACTGATGTGACCTTGATTGCGCCAAATTGCACATGACGATTCAAAGTCGCCTTAAAACGTGGTTAATCGTTGACACGGATTCGAAGGTTAGACTCTAGAGACCACCACAGAGGACCAACAGAAATCAGCAAATTAATGTCTACTTCTTAAAACCTTATTTAAAATGGGCATTTTAGAGTAGTATTCTGGAGTAACGTTTGTTGAGCGGTGAATTTTTTGAGGAGAAGTAACTTATCATAAGAGTAGAAGTCTTGTTAAGAAACACTAGGTCTTGCAACGATGCCCTTTGTTTACGTCTTGGCGTTAATAACGAATGCAATATTTTTTTCTATATCCCACGGAATTGTGAAACAGCGTGTGTATGGGGGAACAGAATGTGTTTTGTACGCTTCGTCAATCCCTAATCCTGCGTGCAATCTTCTTTGTTGAATTTATGTTCTATAATATTCTCAGAGAAAAGATCATTCACTTATATTCAAACAACTTTTATTAGTGTTCCATTTGGACCGTATTTTTTAATTAAGGAAGTCTCCAGAGCCGTATTCAACCGCAAAAAACTCCTAATCTATGCCAGGGTGTGATTTTGAGTGCGTTCTAAGCTACTCTTTTTCTTTTCCGATTTTCCCTTTATTATTAGGAGTTTTCTTGCCATAAATCATTGATCTGGAATCCACCGAAAAAAACAAAGTAGGCAGGGAAAGTTTAGCGAAACCTGCGCAAACTGCTCTTATACTGAAGCGAAACTCAACAAAAACTACAGCTTCAAGTGCCTCGCTGCGAAATTTTAGACAGTATGCTACTCACTTTGATCAATCCTGGACGCCCGAACGATCAGATGATATACATAAGCCTCAAATTTGGTGTTCTTAAAAACAGGAGTGTTATGCTCAATTGGTGACATTCAGCCCTGAAGCCATTTCGTACCTCAGATAAGAACACTCATATCTCAACCTACTAACAGCAGTCGTTTCTTTGGTTCTTTTTGCTTGTGTCTATCTGTTAGACCAGTATGTGACCTTCATGCAATTGCAT